TTACAGAGAACAGAATTCTAGTTCTCACAGCCTGTCCTGCTCATGGTGTTTTTGTTTGTTTGTTTTTTAAAGGAATCATGTTTCAAGAACTAGACTCGCATTTGAGCCTACCTGTTCATGCTCTTGGTTATGAATTTAATGCCAAATTCTCCCCAGCCCTAATAAATGTTTTTTTGTTGTTGCTTTGTTTACACTCGCCAGTACTAGTTTGCACGCTTAGGCTGCAAGTATAGACATACCCTAATTCAAAATAGGGTTGCAAATGTAGGCATTCGAAATTGCAAATCAAGCCTGGGATTTAAATATCCCGCGCTTGATTTGCATCTTCACGGCCGGGCACCATTTTTTTTTTTAATTGATGAGCCCGGAATAACTGCGTCTACATGCGGCAATGGAATGGGCGTTCGAAATAAAGCCCTATTTTGAAATACCTGTTATTCCTCCTGCAATGAGGTTTAACAGGTATTTCGAAATAGGGCTTTATTTTGAATGCCCATTTCACTGCCGTGTGTAGACGTGGGCAGTTATTCTGGGCTTGTCAATTTCAAAAATGGCGCCCAGCTGGGAAGATGCAAATCAAGCGCGGGATATTTAAATCCCAGGCTTGATTTGCAATTTTGAATGCCTACATTTGCAGCCCTATTTCGAATTAGGCTGCAAGTGTAGACATACCCTTAGAGCCAAATCCTGCAAAGGTTTACTCCTCTGTGTACCTCTGTACACTGTCGAGTAGCGTTGTACCACTAAGCAACATGGGCAACTTTCCTCCGAGCACCCGCCCTTCAGTACTCCTACAGCAGGCCTTCTGGGGGCAAAGTCTGGGCGGGGCCAGGCTTGCAGTTGGGGAAAGCAAAACCTTCCCTTGCCTATGACACCTGCCGCTCCTACTATAGACACTTGTCATGCAGTCTGATAATTCACACCTATGTCTTGCATGATCCTCAAGGTAAAATATCACATGGGGAGCGCCTGTACTGCCCTACTTGTGTGTTCCCTTGCTATGCCAAATTTAATCAAAGCAGAATTATAGTCCGCTACCAAAGCATTAGTGTGACGAGAACTCCATCCATAAAGAGACTCAGAACGTTGGCTCTCAATTTATAAAAGAGATTTATACAAAACCCCAAGACCAATGGAAACGTCTGAACGATTTCTCTAAGTTCAGGCATCAACGGAGATTTGTGCAAACAAATGATTATTTCCTCCTTCATTGTCTGCAGCCCAAACTCTGCCACGGTAGGGACAAGGAGATGCGACTATACACTGCTACCAACTTCCTCGATTTTCATCGTCTTGCTGAGAGAAATGCAAGCAGCAAAGCAAACAGAGGAAACTGTGAAAAGCAAGTGCAACCATTCAGCTTCTCATTGGTTCAGTCTCCATGCGAGTCTGGTCTCTCTCACGCCACCATGATCATTGTAACCTCCAAGCACCTCTCAGCAGTGCATTAAGCAGCAGGCTAACATTTGAGCCCCGTGGTTTGTTCTCTCTCTCATACTCTCCCCAGGCGGAGAGCTGTGTTGCAGTGGAGGGGTTTGTTTTGGTAGTTTCCTTAAATGGGGATGCTACTCTGTGTCTAGCAGAGAAAGGAGATCAGAGTGGGTGCTTCTTGCACTTGGAGTGGAAAGCAGCGAGGTTTCATTGACACACAGGGCGGGCAGAGACCTCAGGAGTCATCAAGTCCAGCCCCCTGCCCAAAGCAGGACCAACCCCGACTCAATCATCCCAGCCAGGGCTTTGTCAAGCCACGACTTAAATACCTCTAGGGATGGAGATTCCACCCCTCCCTAAGGAACCCAGCCCGGTGCTTCACCCCCCCCAGGAAAATAGTTTTTCCTAATCTCCAACCTAGACCTCCCCCACTGCAACTTGATCCCATTGCTCCTCGTTCTGTCACCACTGAGACCAGCCTCTCTCCATCCTCTTTGGACCTCCTGTTCAGGAAGTTGAAGGCTGCTCTCAAATCCCCCCTCACTCTTCTCTAGACTAAAGAAGCCTAAATCCCTCAGCCTCTCCTCGCAAGTCTTGTGCTCCAGTCCCCTCCCCATTTTGGTTGCCCTCCACCTCAGAGGCATTCACAAGCGCCATCAATTGCAGGAATACCTGTTGTGCCACCCACTGCTAACAAACAATTGCTACAGCTTGCTGCATCTTAATCTGGCATGGTATGAATGGGTGCTGGTTTACTACCTATCCACTGGACCAGTGGTTCCCAATCTTTCCAGATGGCTGTTGAGTTGTCCTGTGTTCCCCCTCCCCCCATTTCAGCTCTCCTCAAAACTATTTGCCTACAAAATCAGCCATAAAAACACAGAAGTGTCACAGCCACACGACTACTGAAAAACAGCCGACTTCTCATTTTTACCGCATAATTATAAATCAATTGAAATACAGATCATAGAATCATAGAATAATAGGACTGGAAGGGACCTCGAGAGGTCATCGAGTCCAGCCTCCCGCCCTCAAGGCAGGACCAAGCTCCGTCTACACCATCCCTGACAGATGTCTATCTAACCTGTTCTTAAATATCTCCAGAGAGGGAGATTCCACCACCTCCCTTGGCAATTTATTCCAATATTTGACCACCCTGACAGTTAGGAATTTTTTCCTAATGTCCAATCTAAACCTCCCCTGCTGCACTTTAAGCCCATTACTCCTTGTCCTGTCCTCAGAAACCAAGAGGAACAAATTTTCTCCTTCCTCCTTGTGACACCCTTTTAGATATTTGAAAACCGCTATCATGTCCCCCCCTTAATCTTCTTTTTACTGTGCTTCCATTTCAGTGGACAGTATATAGAGCAGTCGTGTGACATGTTAGTTTGAACTGACTTTGCTAGCACTTTTTTAGGTGGTCTATCGTAAAACTAGGCACATATCTAGATAAGAAGGGGTACCCCCTTGAAAACCGCTATGTACTGCCGGGGTACACGTCCCCCTTGTTGAGAACCACTGCACTAGAGAACCGGACTGACACATCGTAAATTAATTTCAGATAGAGCACACTGAGCAATCTAACACGACCAACCTGAACCAGAACTCAAGGCAGGGACCCAGGAGGGAATTGTCTTGATTTTCCAAGTTGGACTCCACTGTGCGCTCCACCGTGTGCAGATCCTGTTAAGAGCCTGTTTTGCACACACACTCCAAATGCTGCTCCTGTCCCAACAAAAGTAATTCAGATGTCTGTGTTTTTGGAAAATGTTTGACATTTTCTTCTATGAATCAGCATAAAGCGCTCAGTGAAGCAAAGAAGCCAATTTTCAGACTCCCTTTTTGACCTCAGTTGAATCGGACAGTCAGGTAGTAAGTTTGGGGACTAGCGACTTCAATTCTTTTAAAAATAAGAGTCTGATACTTAAGTTATTTCCATAGAAAATGGTGCAGCAAATAAAAAACCATGGTGGTGTGCAGGGAAGTGTGAGATAATCGTCAGTAAAACCAAGTCTGAAGAAACATTGACTTGACAAATGCTAATTTTTAAGGTGCTATTTCTCATGGCTGGAATCTATATAACACCCCCAAACATGACACATTTATCAGTCTCACCATGTAGTACACTCTCCTTTGTAGATACTGTAGCTGAATCTGTAAGCTTGTTTCCCAGAGGCAGGTACCCACCCACACACAGGATCATAAAACCCTCCCCTCTCAGAAAATGCAAAGTCTCCGCAGTGAGTAGCAACGGTGCAATGTAAAGTTCAATATCAAACTCAGTGCTGCATCATGGTGTCCCAGAGACGGCACCTGTGGTGCAGATCATCCAGATCATCATGGCAAACAACTCCAGAAGCAAACAGCAGAGAGACCGACCAGATTCGTGAAGGACACATTATCTAGAAGCCGCTCTTCAGTCGTAAGTTATAGCAACAGCACATTTCTACCCCTTTCCATCAGAAGTACTTTTGAAATAAACCGCAAACAGCTTGTTTGGAAAGGAAATATCACTTATAGGTGGGTAAACTGAGGCAGGCCGCGGTTAACAGGTACGCACTGAATCAGTGGCAGATTCGGGAGGGAGCAGCTATAAAGAAAAATGCCAACCTTTCCTCTGGTAGCACGGGGAAGAAATCTAGGGAAAGCAGGTGTGAGCAGGGCACAAGCCTCCTTACACCCATTCAGATAGTGTGTAGTGCACAGCAGGTTTCATACACCCATGGCCTGATTATGGCTTTCGTAGGCCTTAGGCACTCTCATAACAGTAGGCCTTTAATTTTAGATTATATATAAATATATAAAGGGAGAAATGCCCTATCACCTATATGCCTAATAGTAAATATGTTCTACCTGTGTGTGGTGTGTTGACTAAAGATAGCAAATTATTAAGTTTCATTTAGCTGTCTTCTTATTTTCAAGTCCATCATGATTTTTTTGTAGGCCCTACATTTTGTCGGCCCTTAACTTTTGCGTGGGTCCTAGGCATTGTGCCTATTTTGCCTAATGGATAATCAGGCCCTGCATACGGCCACTCAAACGCACAACGCTATACAATTCCTGTGGGTCCTCAGCACTGCTAGATTGCACATATTTGGGATTTTTGTAACTTCATGCCACTAGCAGTCATTGCCTACATAGCTTTTCTTTTATTATTTAATTTTAAGAATGGACGATTCAGGCCTATTACAAGAATGGGGCAGAGATTAGAATGCAGAACACTATTTTTCACATTGCAGGATTTTATGAAGTGCATAGAAAGCCAATGGGAATCTTTCCACTGATTTCAGTGGATTCGGATCAGATACTTACAGCTGGACACGGAAAACTTGCCGTCATTTTGCTGCCCATCTGCTCTTTTTCTTTGCACTTATTAGCTCCTCAGCCCAGCACAAGACTTGAGTCATTTTTTCAAAGCTGAGATGCAAAAAAAAGACAACCATGCAGTCACCTGAGATTTCTCACCTCTACTGCTAACCCACCACTCATGGTTACTAGCCAACCTGTGTGTCCATATTACAAAAGGGGAGGGGAAAATAAGACACAGAAGAACTTTTAATTTAATTTACTTTATTATTTTGTAAATATGAATTTTACAATTAATGATCACATTGGATTCTTTTTTTAATGGATTTCTCATCATATGAAAACAGCTATGAGCACACTCCGAACTCTTGGGGGTTATTTATTTATTTTAGTTACTGATACATCGTGTCAGCCATGGCTACAAAATAACAGTCTTAACTATACGGAGTAACAGCACATAAATACTAGTGAATAATGCACAATTTAAAAAAGCTAGCGTCTTTTGTGGCTGAGACAGTTGATAAACATAACTCAGTGGTACTGTGAAATTTTTCTTACAGCACAGAAAGGTTTTTAACAGTCATGAATTACAGTACTACTTAATACCCTATACAGACTCTTTAAAAACAACCTTGTACTTTAAGTCTCTTTTCCAAACATTCTGTCCAAAGGATTAATGTTCTATTTGAATCAAGTGCCATCCAAATGTTCAAGTCAAAAATATTTATACATTTATACTTCGGCTTTTTTTGTGTGTGTGTTTTTTGTCTGCTAAAAATAGTATTGCAAGTTTTGGCTTTTATTTTGACATAAAAATCACAATCGTGTGCAAAACGCGTAGAATGGAAGAAACTGATCAGAACACTTGAAGGTTTTCCAATTCGAGTGCTTTAGACTTCAACATTTTTTTGTATTTACTTTTTTTAAAGCCATCATTTTTATAACCATCTCATAGCAAGCCCTGAATATCTTGGGCATGGTAATAATCATGTCTGGGGCTGGCTTGTTGACATAATGACGAATTTATACAGCAGGAACACTTTGAAACAGTAGTTGAAGCCCAAGACAGATATGAACTCTCAATTTTCTGTTTAGGATTTACTGCCAGTAGAAGCAAACAGGGGTTGTCTCTTAGTTTTCAGCTGGTTAATGGGCCATACACCCTTCTCCACTTGCAGCAAGATATTTCCATAAAAACAAGCAATCTGAACAAAACCTTAGCAGTAAAATGACTGCGGAAACACATCAGTCCTTTGCAGAATACCATGTCTAGAATGCTATGGTCCTTTAAACATGTGTTAAACAGGGAACAATTCCAGTTTTGTGTCGATGTTCAAGAAAGATTGGAATAAGATGAGCTTAACCCTTTGTTTCTCTTTCCACGTTAAAGCACTGCACAATGCAAGAGAATAAATAAGAGGAAAGAGAACGAGTAAAGTGTATACGATCGTGTGTGAATACAGTGGGAATTTATAGAGCAATCATTCTAGTCCCCTTAGGAGGTGTCCAGCACAAACAGACTGCAAAAAGTTTACATTTGCTAAGGAATTATCAAAACAAGCAGTCCACAATGCTAGGCCAAGTGGACCTACTTTCCGTTTTTTGAGACCCTACGGTGAATTTCTTCACATGTTTTTCCTAGTGACCCAGAGAGCAGCATTCTCAGGAAAAAATGATGGACTGATTTTCTTTTCACTTCCACTGGACTTCCACCAGTACAATGCCATGTAACGCAGTGGAGTTGCTACTGATTTACACCGGCATATGTGAGGAGGCAGCGGCCCAGAAAGATTGGGCAACCTACAATAAATTGACGGCTTGGCATTGATTCAACCTTGCCGTAACAAGGTGCATGGTGCGACTGCCAATCAGCTTGTCAAACCCCATCATATGCTGATATTTCCACGACCAATTTTTGCTAAAACTGGAATTGCATAGTATTAACACAGGGTGGATAGAGAGACAGTAGAAGGTCATGCTACCTTTCTACACAGGCACAGCAACTGCCATCAGGACATTGTTTTTTAATTTGAGCTAGCAAAGGAGGAGAGAGTCTGGGTTCTATACCAGATGGCAACTGCATATAACTTGTAAGCTTAAATGCCATTCAGTTTTTTTTCAAAAGGTGCTTGATATAACTTTAGATATATAATATACATGTAATATTGCTAATAGTCAAGCATACGAATAAAAGGTGCAGACATACCATAAATACTGATGCTTCGATTCGTACTACCAGAGCTAGATGAATGCAGTTTCATATTCACATTATAAAGCAGCCCCAAATTCTATGATTTAAGAGGGTGTCGTAAACAAAGAGGAGGGGGGATTTGGTTATGATCTGATTTTCTTAATCTGTTTTCCTGGGGAAAATGATCAAAAAATTCTAAGGCACTCAGGAAAGCCCCATACAATCATTGGACTGCTCTGTTATCACTTTACATTCAGTATTTTAAAGGGATTATTTTCCCTCCAAAGAATACAATCATCATCCATATACATTTTCAAACATATCATTAATCCTTCACACACAGGAAACATTAGTGCAAAATGCTTGCCCTCATCTACCAGATAAGGAAAAAAAAAAACCAACCTTCCCCTTTCACATTTTCAAAGTTTGCCTTCCTAATTTAAAATAAAAATAAAATAAAAATAAAAGAAATTACAGGAAGTTGTGCTAGATATAAAAATATATATTTTTTTCCACTGTGCAACTCTACTCTCTTCAGATTCTCTGTCCTAAGCCATTCTAAATCATTCAAGTACTTCTGCTGCTAATTCCGTCTAGGGTCTCCCAATTCAGGATATTACGTGCACTTCATTTGTGGTTCGGTTGGTCCAGAAGAGCTTTAACTAACTGTGAGTCTCAGAGGGAGGGTTCAATTTGCCAAACACTACAAGGGCCATACCAAAGAAGGAGGGAATGTTCGGTATCATTTTGAAAAATAAGTAAAGGGATAGGCAGTACTTAAACGATCATTCTGATTAGAGGACCGAATCCTCCATGGGCAGGTATGTAAAGCAGGGACTTAAATCTCTCTATTTCCCAGCTCATGTCATTTCTGACTTAGCGAAGTTGCTCACTTGGAGTGAACTTTGCCAAGTAGCTGAAAGTTTTACAGTGAGAACAGAGAACGCTGCTGACTGTCCCCCACCCCCCCGGCCCTCTGTCAAATGGGACAGCCTACCATGAGGTTTCGATCAGTTTACTCAAGACAGATTGTCAGCATTTACCGAGGGTGACAGTGAAATGGCTAAAGAACTGGACCAATCAATTCCTTGAAAAAAGCAGCCCCATGCAAGCCTAGTTCTATGGTCCCTAATAAGATTTGTTCCTAGGGCCGTATCCTGACAAGTGGTACATAAGCACCAATATACCATGCAGCTCAAAAGGTGCATACTCCGTGTGATATTCTGCCAGCCACACAGATAAACCATGCACACAGAGCAAGCTCTGGACTGGGCGTGGATAAGAGAAGGGCCTTGCAAACATAGCAAGAGGAAAATTTTTATTTGCAGAGGTGGGCAAAGTGCAAATACGGCCTGTGAATGCCCAACTCTTTAATACACACAAACAATATTCACCTAACCACACCACTTTGCATAGGTCTTAAGGGCACTGATCCATGTGACTGGGGAAGGCAGAATACCAGCTCCATTACATCTAAAAGAGCCAGACTGAAATCATACAAAACTTGGAGCTACATGAGATGTCAGGTAGAATAGTCCCCACTGTGTATTTTATTCAGGGCAAAGGGATCTCATTTTATTCAGAGAAAGAGGTTGGACCACCACAAGTGTTCGAGAACTTGCTAGTAAGATGCAAACACAGCTTCAAGTACTGAAGAAAAAAATGGCAAAGGCTGGGTTGTCCCCTTTCCCCCCTTTTACACAGCGGAGTACCCCTCTGAGCAAAGCGCTGTCTGTGAAATCAGTCGCCCAAACCAACTTGAAATGGCCACCCGCAGCCTCTGGAAGTGACTGTGCACTCGGCACTTGTTCATAGTTTCAAACTTTGATTTCCAAGGACTGGAAAGTAACTCGCAAGCAGGCATGTTAGTCACAGTAAAAACAAAAGTAAAACGAAAACCAAAACTAGCCTCATTTGGCTTCCATATCAATCCCCTTCCTCCCCCGCCTCCCACAAATATCTTAAAAGCATTTCAGACTCAGCAGTGTTCAGCACCAGCTCCATGCCAATGGACGTCTGGGGTTTCCCTTGTCAACATACACCTGCCTCCCTGTTGGCTCTCAGCACACACTCACAGCCTCCCTGACTCCCACCCGGGGAACCTCGCAACCCTCTCTCGCCTCTGCAAGTAGGACGAAGACCACAGTGGAACGGATGTCTGAAGCGTGGCGATGGGACACGCATGCTGGGAACGCTGTGCCACGCTGGGCCCTCTACATGTCTGTAGAAGCTCGGGGGGAGGAAAGAAGGGGTGGGGTCATTACTTTCAGGAAAGGGTTACAGTCACTTGGGGGAATTTCTGCTCTAGTCTGACCTTCCGTTTCCAGAACAAAAGCACTCAGCGGTGACTCATCTGCCCATTGTCTGGAGGACAAACTCCCATTGCCACTTGCACATAGACCTGCATCCCTACCAGCTTCCCCTTCCCTTAGCATCCTGCCCTAACAGTCAAACACAATGCGCTGTGTGTTACTGCGTAATAATGCACGCGTAACTGTCTTGTTGGACACAGGGCCAAGCAGGCCAAATGCCATGAAATGTACCCAGAAGGGCACAAAGGATTTCTTGGATAAGAGAGATCCACTATTCCCCCTGGATACTCTTTCTATGAAGAGGTATTTGGCGTGAGTGGGAAGAAGGAAAAAGAACTTCATGGAAAGAGAGAACCAAAAATTATGAGAACAAATCTGATCTTTTGTTTCCCTTTGTATTTCATCTACTTCAAATGTTAACAACACTGGGCAGGAGAGTTAGGAGCTTACAGACTGCGAAAGCTGTCAGGGAAACCAGGCATTTCTACTCAAGCCAATCAGAATTTGCTGGACCCCACTGAGGGAAGAGTTGCTGTCACAAGCGAGTATGGTCTCTTTGGAGCAAAGCTTTCTATTGTTTAGCGTAAAGAGCGAGGTGGCTTTCTGTTCCTCTTGCCAGTAATAGCGCCTTTGAGAGGCTGAATGCATCTGTTGTGAGGCTCGGTGAAAACTAGCTTCTTGAAAGTGACTGTAGACTTTTGGCTCCTGCAGGGCCCAGTGAAATTCTAACAGAGGTGATGGGTGGGCTGCAGAGGAATCTTAATTTTCTTCAGCCCTATCAAGTGCACCTCAGCATGAGGGAGGGTGTGATCAATGGTGCACTCCGAGCATGCCGACAAGTTACATCAGATTACTCCCTCACTCCAAGCCCCTTCACAAGCACATCACGGGAAACCAAGTTCATTCAAACCATTCCTAGGTAAGGCTGAATCCTCACAGAGGCTCACTCTATCTGCCAGTTCCACTTCATCACCATTCCCCTATCACCTTTGCCCATAAGATTTTTAAGGACAAAAAGTATCTCCATCTAGACCTACCTGCTTTCCCACTTCTGCAGTTCAGTTTCTCTCTGATCCTCTTACAATCTGTCTCAGCAATTGGACTGAAATCAAAGATGAAGGGGTATTAGCCTTGTAAAGAGGTGGCCAAGGGGTTGCCTGGCAAATGGACCGGCTGTCCACTCTCATCACTGTCACAAGGGAAAAGAGGGGGCAGCAGGAGAGGAGGTTGTAGAAGCTGATTAAGGGGGGGCCAGTGGTATGACCCATGGGAAGGGAAGAGGCGGGGGAGAGCTCCGGGAGAGAAGAGACAGTCATACTACAGGAGAATATCACACGAGGGACTCAATCTGCTATCACCATGCAGTCCTCCCTTCTCACACAAATAGAAAAGAAAAGGTATGGCTACCCCTATCCATTAGCAACTGAAAAACAAAATCATCAGTGGACAGGCACTGAGTAGTGCTCTCACCTTGGTTACAGCATCATGCTTAGTAACACTAATGTTAAGGATCTGCTCGCGGATCATTTAACACCAAAAGTATTTTTAGCAATTCCCCACCCCACCTTGTTAGAGCCAGTCGTACGGACAGGCGACTGCTACCTTAGCAATCTCTCTTTCCTGTTAAGTGACGGTAAAACTTGCTTTAGAGGAAGAAGTTAATGATGGCTTTACTTCGGAGCTGAATAATGCATGGGGTGGTGATGAGATGGCGCAGCAGCAGGGAGTTTCAAGCTTTTTTCCTCCCCTTCTTAAAAAAAAAAGAAAAGCTACAATCTTATAGACTAATCTCAGGAATATCAAAAAGGAGCCCATTTTTTTTCAGTAGGTCTCCACAGACCGAGTCGTTTACAGTGTAACGAATGCGATTATTTCCTTCATAAATTTTAAATACAAGCAGAATAAAAATCACATTTTTTTCAGGCAACAGTAGCAGTTCAGTAGGTAAGAGGCTTGATCACATTTTTTTGTATTAGTAATGCATGCAAGCAGCTTTAGTATTACAGATCCCTTCTAGGTCACAAAATGGTTTCTCTCTTTTATAAAGTCCCTCCATAAGTACCATCTTGTCTTCTCACTGGAGTTTCTGGCCGGCTAGTGGAACCGGACCCTTGTTCAAAAGGTTGTGGAGTGCTTTGGGTGTCTGACACCACAGCATCTGTTCCAGCTGCCTCCTGAATAACAGAGCCAGCCCCTTCGGCATCCTCACTCTGTTCAAAGGATTGGTTGGATCCATTGCTTAGATCTGCGTTTACTGTGTTAGTTCTCAACGCTACTATCGTTCCCGAATCACTCCTCCTTTCTGCATAAAGTCGCTGCTCAAAGACCTGAGCAGTGCTGGGCTGGAATTCTGGATCCAGGGGGACACTGTTTGTTGTGGAACCCATGACAGTGCGGTACATCTCCATTCCCTCTGGCAACATGGACTTAATCTTGGGAAGCCAGCGCTTGCGGACCCGTCGGGCGTTGGTGCACATGTCGGCTGCAATAACATTCATCTCGCTTTCCTTAAAGCTCGGGGCAAAATTCTGACAATACACTGCAAAGACAGGGACACATTTCACTGAGGACTACTCCAGTAAGCAATACAAAGACGTCTGTGTGATCAGAGCCTTTGTCCCATCTCAGAACTGCACCACAAGACAATAACAACATGCAGCTATGTTTATACCGGGCACAAAACATAGTTTTATCACAAGAACTCAGCTGTTATCCTGGATGAGACCACTGATTCAGCTCTACTCCAATATCCCGTTTCCAGATGCTATAGAGGAAGGTGCAAAAAAACCCATTATGGGACAACGTATCCATAGGGGCAATTTATTCCTAAAACCCAAGCAGATCCCAGCTGGCTTAAGCACTGAAACGTGAGAGTTTGTATTCCAGATGGTATCACTATGATCCAACAGGCAACTCCATGCCTTGAATTGTCGTCACATTTTCTAGTAAGGCTTTACTAGACATTTATTTAGAGGTAAATCATCACTAGCCACATAGTGGAGAGGAGAGCATTCTACAGCAGTGACGAATGGGATGGTATTAGGACAGTAAAGATACTTCATCAGTGTCTGCATCAGGTGACTAGTCTTTGGTTGTTACTTCATTCAGGGCTCGCTGTATACTGGGGGTATTCAACTCACTCCTTCATTTAACTATCAGTAATGAAATGGGTTACATACACATTAAAACCTCCAGGATTTTTCTGGCAGAGGGCCCCGGCCCCCACTGTCCTAAATCCTTTTGGCCCTGTATTATGATTTCAGGACATCCATGGCTATTTATCAAAATTATATTGGGACAGGACGGTCATCTGCAGAGTGCATCTGGGGAGGTGCTAAGCACATTGCAAGTCTGAGCCTATAACATGAAGGCTCTTCCCTCTCCTGGACTCAGTGTTTGCTTTGTAAAGCACCACAAACAATCTCTGGCTTCGGTAATAATTAATGCAGTCTAATATTTCTGATGTTCACATATCAATGTCTTTTGCTACCTGTTCACCTCCTTCCACGCCCCAGAGGTCTGCAATTGGGGCAAGAAGGCCCATCAAGCTTCAACAGCAGTTGTGTGAGGGGAGATTTATTAAGCAAATCTTAAAAAATAGTTCACTCAACTTTCAGCTTCTAGTGAAATATTTACATGAAGATTTCCTATGCAGACAGACTCCATTGAGGAGGAAAGTATGTGAGTACCCTGGTTTGTGCTGTGCATCAAGCATATGTGAAATGGGCTTCAGTGTACTAAAATACCAGCTTTTTATAATCTGCAGAGTTCCTCACTTGCTGTTGATAGCAAGCACCATTTACCCTGATAATGTGCTTCTTGTATTCAAAAGAATGATTGTAAATTGGCACATTTTTAACCACTTGTTTTGTGCCTTGTTTGCACACAGTTTTAAGTGTAAAAATCCTTTCCTTCAGATAATGCTTGTGATTATTAGTTTTCTCATAGTCAGAACATAGAACATGGGCCAGATGCTCATGTAGCATAAATCAGCATATCTAAACACACAGCGCCAGGTAGTGGGGTTATCACAAATCCAGGAATTTGCTTTTAGTACCGTGGCCATTGACTCACTGAAGTTAAAGAGCATTTATTATTTAAAATGTATAGTGACTTACCTTATGGCCTTTTGGGACAGTTTCAGTTTTAAAAACAGTAGACTCTATTACATTACCAGCTGTAAAATGGATTTTAGATTCTCTATGTAGAGACTGAATAAACTGCTTGATATTATACAGAACCTTGGTCAGATTCCAAGTTTAGAAAATTATTTTTAAAAGCTATCAATAAACCCAGTTTAAAAAAAAAATCTCGTCCATTAATAGAAGTACTGTACTGCAAAATTGACATTTTTTAAATTGCTAAACAACATGCAAGATAGCATGAACAGTGTCACACTGATATTGTTAAGCACAAAATACCAACTCTGGACAAAGATTATAAGTTATTTTTAAGAGCATCAGATGTTTAAGTGAAAAGATTTGAATTTTCACATAACCAATGTCAAGGATGATACCATCTTGAAGACTTCCCCTGTTTAAATTTCAACTCTTTCCTAAGCTTTGATTTTTGCTCTACTGTTCTAACCCAGCGGCAGTAAATCTTTTCCCCCTTACATTTCACTGCATTAAGGACTCTGCTGTCCAGCGGCTTCCTGCTAGGATCACTTGTGGAGGACCGAATTCCAGTTCCACAGCTATTGGCAAGCGTGTTCCTGAGGGAAAGGGAGAGAAATGCAGATCTTAGACCCAGAATTTCAGGCAAGAGTGAACATCTAAAGTGAAGCAGAGAGACACTGTCTTGCTGAGTGTGCTCTCTTTCAGACAGCAACAAGTTATATATTTGCAAGTTTAGCAATCAGAAAAACTAGCACTTCGGATCACAAGCGCTGACTCCTTGGGTACTCTGAGATTCAAACACCGCTCCCCGCCCAGAACAGGGTGTGCTTTGCATGGGCAGAGCCAGATCATTTTTTGTGGGCACCACCCCCAGCTCCGCCCAAACCTCTGCTCAGCCTCCACTTGCCTCTTCTGGGAATGGAAAGGGGCAGAGAGGAATGAGCGGGAGAGAGGGACTTTGGGGGAGGAACCTGAGCAGCATTAGCATTGGCTCCCAACCCCGCCCTCACGGGAGCCAAGCCACCCCCCTTCCCAGCACCATGGGGAAACGGGGCAGTACATGGCCCCAGCACCCTGGGGGAGTGAGGGTGGCACATAGACTGGCATCCCTGGCACTGGAGTATGGGGTGGGCAGGCGCTGGAGACAGCAACACTCCGCCCCCATTACATCTACAGCAGGCTTTCTGGGGACGGAGTGTGGGCGGGGCCAGGTTGCAGTTTGGGAAGGCAAAGCCTTTCCCCGCCTAGCATACCAGCCGCCCTGTTGAGTGGAGTTGGGGGTCTCGGTTGGAGGGGCCAGAGTCTGGGCACCAGGGTCGCTTCTGCATGAGGCTTGGCATCACAGCAGGAGCAGATGAGAGTTTTGCGGGGCCCAGGGCATCACAATTTTGTGGGGTCTCCTTTGGAGAAAATTATAGAAAAAAAGCATCAAATGCGCAAATTCAAGGCTATTTTCATGTAAATTGTGAATTGGGTAAATTTGATAGAAACTTAATTTAGTTGGATAATTTTAATTTTAAACAAAATTCTGCATTAATTATTAAAATTTTTCATTTGTATTTAAGTCTATTATATCTGTCTAGCTCTTTTGGCAGCACATTCTTCAATTATGTCATTAAAGTCCATTTCTTTACACAGGTCATTTTCAAAAAAGTTTAAAAATCCTTCTTCACAAACAAGTGTAACAGCAACCACGTGACAAATACGTGTGATGAGGACTACAAGCATTAAGCAGTACATTCACCAGCCAACATAATTTTTAAACCCCTACAGCGGTGAAATCCTGCATGATTGTACTCTCAATACTCCTATTATTCTGCATCCTTTTAGACCTTTAGAGAATGGTTTTCAAAATCACAAATAGCAATTAGGTCCAACTGAAATAGCCTAATTCTAATGAAAACTCAGAGCTGGAAGTCCAACTTTATCCGATATACCTTTGAGAAAAATCTCCCATCTATATCTATGTGATAATTTCTCATTTAAGGAACACATTTTCAGAAACATACAAATGAACATATCCCAGATTCAGCCCTGCAGGCTATCTACATAGTACTTCTTAGCTGGCCACAAAGTGAGACAAAGTTTTAATGTGTTATATGCGCACACAGTATAATTATATGCAATGTAATCTGGTGGAATATGCATTGCTTGTAACCTGGAGTGATTTCTATCATGAAGACCATGTAGCTCAATGAAAGAAATAGTCTGTAAAACTCAAAGAGAACCCCTCTCCCCCCATAGCTATTAAGAGTGAAGAGGGGGGTAATCTTTTATCCAAAGTTTCTTCCTATCTATGTCCGGGAGACTTTTCTTTACCTGTTCCTTTAAAGGTGATGTAAAGGTAAAACCAGACAACCTGAGTTCCTACTTCCTTCTTCCAATAGTAGCTTCTGATATTATATTTGGCATGAGTAATTACTGTTGCTAGGTGGTGCTTTCTCACATAAAACACTGCCTTAGTACTTAGTGCAAGACCCCACAAGAGGAAAACCTCTCAACAGCTTGTTCACCTCTACTGTCAACACAAACAGCTGAAGTGACCAGTGCCCGATCTTTCAGAAGGCATGAACAGAACAAGGCACTTGCCTGGTGATCTATCACTTGTCCTCTGGTCCCAGCATCTGGCATTCAGAGTTTAGGGACTTCTAGAACATGGGGTTGGATCCTTGATAATCTTGTCTGATAAATTCACCCGCTTTGTTTAAAAACCATTCCTCCCCACCGGCACCAAATCATCTGTTGAATTCCTTCCTGTTCCTCTTTCAGTTTAGAGACAAGGCAGGGAAATTTAACATTCGTTGAGCGAAAAAAAATCAAATACTGGTCCAGTCTGAGCGCAGAACTGTGGGTGTGTGCAAAGCTCTGGTGTTGTTGTCCCATCCCCCCCGCCCTGTTCTTCTCCCTTCACCTTGCTCCCAAGCAAGCGATGGGTCATTCCTTAGGAGCAAGGCTAGAGAAAGAAACACCCTCCAGCTCCCATCAAGATGCCTGGCTGGTGTGGAATAACAGGAGGCCTAAGGTGTCTCTTGGGGTTTCAGACACACACTTTTCAAGGAGAGGCAGAGAGGACGAGGCAGGAGGTCCGGAAAGTTGATTCGGTTGCGTCCAGGTCCAGGCTATATTAGCAGCCTGTTTCAGTTTTGGCTTCCAGTGGGTGGCGTGAGGGGGCGAGAGCAGCTCCGCTCGAAGCGCCTGGCAGTGCAGAGCCAACTGGCTTCTAAAGAAGATGGTGCTGGCGGCCGGAGAAACTGCACCCCCTCTGCGCTGCGATGAATGCAGCACAACCAGGCGCTGCTGCTCCCGCGGCATCTGCAGCCCCAAGCAGCCAAAAGAAAAGGAGAAAAAAGAAGCCGCCCAGAAGACAGCGGTGGCTTTCGCCCAGCTCCTCCTGTGGAGCGTGGACTTCTCCAGGAACCGCAAGGGCCTCCCCTTGGTGGCCATCAAGAAGGAGCGGACCCCGACTGGGGTCCAGAGGAACAAAAGCCGCATCAAAGCGCTCAAGGACACGTCAAAGCGGGGCCTACTGAAGCGCGGGGCTGCCCTATATCCGCCGCTGCATCACAGCACCACAGCAAACCCAGTACCGAGTACCCCCGAGCCACAGTACTGTAGACAATTTTATTTAAAATGCTACAGCGAGATGTAATGTCTTTAAATTGGGACATCGGTGGAGACAGGTTGTAGGTGAGAGCAATTATTTTTATATACTGTAACTCTCGATAATGTAATTATGCAGTTGGTGCTTGGCCTTGCCACGAGGGCAGGGGACTGGACCTGACAACCTCTTGAGGACCCTTCCAGTTCTACAATTTTATGATTGGTATTTTAACAATTTAATCATTATTAAAATAGTAATGAGACACAGATATTCAGTAACTAGAAGAGCATGAAAGACAGGTGTATATATGCTGAAAATAGCCTCCCCCCAAAACTCGCAGAGGCCACCCCAAAGACACACACCGTCAAAGACAAAAGTCAGCACCAGTGCTTCCTATTCATCCCTCAAAGAAGAAAAACAGAAAAGGAGGGGGGAAAAGGCTCAAATTAATATTTTGTAAGGTACATTTAAAACCAGGAAACACTCGGAGGTTCGTACTGCCTGGTCTAAACACAAAAAGGAACTTACCGATCAAAGAAAGTGGCTAGAAGTCGTCTCAGAAGAACCTTATGTTTAACACCTGCGCATAGATGACAGTTCATGAGCTGCCCCCGGGTGATATAAACACCTGAGCCTGCAAGAGTTAAAATGTACAGTTTAAAATCCACACACTGATTTTCCCAACAGTTTGCATCTCGCTACAGAACGAAGCACAAAATATTTTTGTTTTCCTGTTCAGAGGAGGGGCAGTCTCCTGCTATACATTTATATAGTGCCTTGCACAACAGGGTCATGATCTCACTTACATCCTCAAAGGACTACTGGAATTCATAGAATGTAAATAATGCATATAAATAATGGCTGGGATTTTCAAAGAAGCCAGTGAGTTAAGGATCTATGGCATATAGGCACCTCACTCCTTGTGGGAGAGGGGGTATAGTGAGAATCACAGCCTATAATAATCATCTCTTGATTTTAGCCAAACAGAAAGAAATCCACTGAAGTCTGGTGAAAGATCTAGTTACGTAAGAGACACACTGCTATGATTTATTTCATTTTTAAAATGATACATAGACTACTACTATCCTTCCAGAGCAACCATCCATTTGGCCTCTCCGTCTGTCAAGGAAAGAGCTGTAGAACACACATTTAGACTAAAAAAGGAGGCTGGCATGGAAGAGGAATATATTTATTTTACAAATCAATTTATTTCCAAGAAACACAGTGCAACCCCCGCTGGTAATTTTGGTGAGCTGGGAATTTAGTTTCTATAGTGCCTAGGAACTGCTGGCTCTCAAATATATTGGCTTAAAGTATGTTTGCAGATGAGAAATCAACCTTGCTAAGGAAGCTTTACACGTGCAGAGGTTTGGAAACAGATTGTCAGTGTTTTATAGTAGGTCTCTTACCCTTTCATTATCCAACTCTTATATAGCGCACAGCTTGCAAAAAAATCAAACTTACTATATGCCTCAAAATCTGCCTGCTTTCACAAAGCTGTGGCAATGTATATTTTCTTTTCAAGCACATAGTTATAATATAAAAGGTGGTTTTTTTTAAATTAAGGTTAAATAGTAGGTCATATGTAGACCTGCAACAGACTCCCTTGCAGAAGCTGATACCTACAGGGGAAATAAAGTTACTTCTTGAATTTCCAGAAAAGCCTATGGATGATTAGTGCCATACTTATCTTTAAAATTAAGAACAAAGAACGTTTAAAAAACTAGTGAGACAGATGGAGTGACTCTGGAGTAGCTGCACTGAATTTAACAGAGTCACTCCTGATTTACAGTGGTGTAAGATCAGAGTTTGACCCTTTTCCTCTGTGGTGAAGTGGATAGCCAAACATCTGTGCTGTTCTACAGCAAGCAATAAGATGACTGCTTCATCTTTCACCAGATGATGGTTCCCTCTGTTCCTCTGACACGTTTGTTGAATGTAAGAGTTAGAATGGGAGAACAGCAAGTGGCACTATGGGATTTCTGAAATTTGCCACTTCTCACTATGCGCTGCACATTTAAATCTATCAATCACTTTTACTATGATCATATCAAGGCTTATTTAAGGCCCTTCTAGAGAAACTTGTCAAAGTTTTCAGAATCAATATTGGCATAAAAAAATCTGAGATGAAAGAAAATGTTTCATATATGGAGGTTACTAAACACACAGTGAAAGATTTTTCTTTTGTACTTTGGGCAGAACCACTCCCATTGGTTTTTGCTAAGTTTGAAACAGTAATTAGCTGCTAAGCCTTTATTCAGTAACAGTATTTTAAGAGATAAGCCATCACAGAGAAAGCCACATGCTACCAAGGGTAACTTCACTTTTATAATAAAAAATAACCCAGGCAGCCACTATCAGTTAGAGATATTAATCTACTTTTTTCAAATTGAAAAATGTAAATCAAGCAAAGATGCTCCGAGCCAATTTGCAGCTCTCACTGTGAAAATAATCTGCACCACTTGCAGTTTTTAAGAAGTCTCACATAAAATGCAAGCAGATACAAAATGAATATTCTACTTACAAAATAAATACTTGTGGTTTTATGCTATGTTATGGTAGGTGTGTTTTATTTTGACTTTCTATTGATGACAATGTCCTGATCAGAAAGAAACTTGCCTAGTTTTTTTTTAATTAACATTCTTACTATGGGCTGAAGATAAATGTGTGCTATTCGCAGAATTGTACCCAAGATATACAATGGCCACAAAGACAGGACAACTGGTTTGGATCACTAGTGCTACCCCACTTTTCCCTTCTGAAATGTTTTCCAGCAGAAGAACTCAAAGCACTTGACAGGTATTAATGAATCCTCATAACTACCTGTGAAGTGAATAAGGGATATTACATAGGAATCATGTTACCCAAATGCGAACACTTCTGGGGACAAAAACAACAGATCATAACACTATCCAACAGTGCAGGGAAAGAAGTGGAGAACACCATATCCAACTGAAACTACAATGGGATGTAGGGTTTTGGAATTTGGTTTGGACAGCAAGGTCAACCTAGTACTCTTATATAACAATGCCATGAGATGTTTATTGGCCATTAGAGGACAAGACTACAGTTTTAAGTCTTGCAAATTTTGCATCTCCATCATTCAGCTCGACAGCTCTCAGTACCATCCTCCAACTTTCTCAATCCTTGGCCAAAACATGCATCCAGATAAACAGTAGCTGGATACAACTGAACTTGGAGAAGACTAAAAATCTGGTGGAAAGAGGGAAATGCTTCAGAAAACCTTGAACATCCCCCACTATCCATCCTCAAAATGTTCAATGGATTTCAGGCCTTGGGGTCCTATTGTCTGGCTGGTTGCAAGAAGGGATCAATTCAACCTGTGACTAGCCAGAAGATTACAGCTTCATCCTTGCCACAGATACACCAAATGCAACCCTAGGGATCGAGTCTCAAAACTCACATCTAAGGAGCCCAGAAGTGTAATTTTATTACCCACTAGTAAAATTTTTGTTGTTTTAATTAAAACCTAAAATGTCCAAATTTGTGTTCATTTCCATAAATCCTACCACCACTGCTCTATAATCTTTATAGGTTACGTCTACACGGCACGCTTATTTCGAAATAACAAGCTTCTTACTCCAACTCCTGTAACCCTCACTTAATGAGGAGGCGGGGAAGTTGAAGGAAGAGTGTTCTTCCTTCGACGTCCTGCTGTGTAGACAGTGCCAAAAGCTGTATTCAGCCATTTCAACTTCAGCTATGCCATTGACGTAGCTGAAGTTATGTATCTAAATTCGACTTTTGCCCTGCAGTGTAGATGTGTCCACAATGTGATACTTGGAAAAAAAATCCTAATTCTTTTAATCTGTGAGACAAAATTAAAATTTTGTTGTGATGCAGCCTATACCAATCAGGAAGAATACAAGCTTAGGGAATTCAATTAAAATGCTAAATTAATTCAACTGAATAACTCCTGCTAATGACACATTCTTCTAACAGTGAATTAAAGGAAATTTTAGACGTTCTATCTTTCCCCCTCCCCCCACTGATTAGCAATGGGCACGTTTCTTCATAGTAAAACAAAAAAGGGGAAAATTTGCATACAATATGATTGCAACTATGTTTCATATGAGATAAGGGGTGAATTCTTAAACAAAACAAAAAAACCTACTCTCTAATCTTCAGTCATTCAAATGTTAAAGTTATTACCTGCAACAAGTTCAAGTTTTTCTCCGGGATCTCCCTCCGAGTAGAGCTTTGGGTGGCATCGATAGCCGATCTGACTGATAAGACTTGCTGGGAGAGCAACTAAATCACGTCGAATGAGGACACAGGAACGACTCTCTAGTGGGATCGGCTCTGGCTTCTCTTGAGCCACTTAAAAAAAAACGATCAGGGAAAACCATTAAATAACGTTAAGGTGCAGGATCCAAATTAACACAGCTAGATTTTGATGATTCGAGATCTTTTTCACAACAACGCTTTTGAGGTTAATCATCTACTCAAAAGCACGCTCATTTTATATCTGCAGGCAATGAGCACCGTTATGCAGGACCCAGGGCAAATATCTTGTGATCTTCAAGATCTCCTTGCCTTGAAGTTTAAATCCAAGGACTTCATTTTTTTCTGATCTCTTTCAAAAAGAATAGATCTTACAGGAGCCTTGCCCTGAACCGACTCCAAGAGAGGGATAACATAACCTAATTACGCTTTTTTTTTAAATGTTAAACATTTAGAAAAATTGCTATTTCTGGATATCTAAGATCACTCTCTAAACATAAGTATACAGAATCAGCTTTCTAAAGACAAGAGGCAAACTGCTGTATGCAACTAACAGAAAATAAAATGTTATGGAAATGTTTCTCAAATAAGCCATAAATTGTCCAATTAAGTTAGTAGCTACTTCACTATTATAAGTACTTTTCTTTAATATTCTGCTGCTGAAAACCTTTATCTACATATTGAACCAATCAAAAGTTATTCTCGGCTACTCAATATCACCAGCACTCACTTTTTCTAAATCAAAATAGGATTCCTAGGTTTCTTTTCCTCTATCATTCCCACTGTTTTAAGCAGCTCTGGCTTAAAAAAAAAAAGACAAATTACACTGAAATTCTAGGATATTGCTGTGATTCCTTTAAAATATTTCCTTACATACAATTGATGGGGCCTGCCACAGCCTATTAGCAGATGTTAATACTGAAAAACTAAACCCAATGATTTTTACTACTAACACACAGGGCACAGTGCTAGGTTTTGTGAACATGGAGACAGGATTAGCTTTCTAAAACATGTTTATAGTGGAAGTCCATTATCATGCTTAAAATTACATACCACAGCAAAACAGAACTCATACAGGTGTGCATAGTTGTCAATCACATCATCTACAATATATTTTAAGCATTTATAAATGTTAAAAACATATGCAACTGTATTATGAGCTACTTTGATTAACAAGTTTTGATACCATATATCAAAGTCTATAAATATGACCAGGACTGCTTCCTGAAAAGGATAAATACAGCCTTAGTCTTAAATAAATAAATAAATAAATAAATAAACAAACAAACAAACAAACAAACACACACACACACACACACACACACACACACACACACACACACACGCAGTGGATCAAATAAGCACATAACTTAGCCTGTTAAATGTATCTTACTCTCATTATTTTGATGTTTCCCATTCAGATAGAACAGCAAACCTGGAAACTTTTGTAGTTGTTGCTACAGTTACCACAACAGAAAGGTCTCCTTTACAAAGAAATTAGTGTTCTAACTAGGACATGTCAAGCAACGTTGCTTTGTTATGTGACAGCACATTATAGGACACAAAGTTGTAAAAGGCAACAAAAATGTTGGGCTAGATTGTGTAGTAATATATTGCAGTATTATTATTAGGTGTGAAGCCTTTTAAAACGGAAAGGATTTTTTGTTTGTTTGAGGCGTGTGGTTTCATCTCCTAAACAAGATCATCTCAAAGTACCAACGCACCTAAAACAACAGCCTGGTATTTCCATGAATGGATGAGGAACCAGCCGTGGAAAAACAACCCAGATGATATTTTAAAAGCATAATCAGGGCATGTTGGTAGGAGAAATTATCTATGCAAAGCAGAAGTACTTTGTAATGCTGATGTGCTGCTCACTTACGTAAGACATTTTCACTAGCAGAAACCACTCTCTATTTCAAAGCTCCTATACGTAGAATTTCTAAATATTCACATGCACTTTTAAAGAATGAAATAGCCAGTTCTTGTGGTGGGAGCATCTAAAGGGGCTGGCATCTTGCTGATGCTTTTGGACACTCAAGGGATGTCTACACTACAGGATAAAGTCAAATTAAGATACACAGCTTCAACAACATTAATTGCGTAGCTTGAAGTTGAAGTACCTTAACTTGACTTTTGGCGCTGTCCACGCTGCAGGAAGTCCAAGGGAGAACACTCTCCCTTCGACTTCCCTTACTCCTCGTGGAAGCAGGACTTCCAGCATCTACTGGAGTGCCCCTCTCAGATCTAATTAGCATGTCTTCACTACACCTGCTAATTCTAACCCTGTTAGATCAACAGTGGCTGCTTCAATCTTCTCGGTAGTACAGACATACCCTGCAAAGGGAAAGACATTAAACTGACAGAGATTAAAAGAATTGGAGAGTATTTTATCCAGCACTAATATTCAGACAAAAAGCTCCCCTCCTCTCCTCATAGTTCCTTTGGTTTTTCCAAAATTGCTCAGATAAGCAAGTTCCACCACTGCAAAAACATATTCTGGAGACAGGTTTAGGGGCACACAGCTTGTACAAGGGTCCAGTCTTTCTTTCCCATTTACAGTCCATGAGAGCACACTCTATACGGTACAGCTTTGCATTTCTTATGGCAGGGACATATTCAATTATAGTACAAATACTATACACAGCATTAGAGGATACAGGGACCACTTAGGTCTGATGTCCTTAGCAGATGCTATTTAAGAAAAGAATAGCATATTTTCAAGAGTCAATAAATATCAAAATTGAACAGCAGGTTTTTTTTGTATTGTAGCCACAATGTTTTTGAAATGCAAAAACCACAGCAAGGGATAAAGATTAGGCCAGATAATTTCATATTGTTTGTGTTAACTGTGGGCAAGCTTGCCTGAGAAAGTGTTCCAGCAGCTTGTGAATTCTTTCTACACAGTCATGGTTTATCCTGCTGAGCAAAAGGTGTAAAGTATCACACACACAAAAACAAAACTCCCTGCGCTATCTGTTTAAAGCTGTGATTTTTATTTTAATTAATGGCTTTGGGTGAAAAGTGCCAAAACTATTATTGCCACTTTAAAAACTAGATAATCTTAAGCTGTTAAAAGGATAAGAACAAAAAGTTGTGCATACTGGCATTAATTTTTACAAGGGCTTCTGAAATGGCTCCATGTTAGTGTAAGGTTAAAAAGTATCTCTGAACAATTGCAGCTAACAGAGCAAAAATATAAACATTTCACAACACAAGACAGACCCTGTGGTTTCTAACTATCATATAACCACATATTTATATATTATAAACAAAAACATTCAGCATGACATGGTGGTTAATAATTATTTTCCACAGTCACATAGATGTGAATTTAATTCATCTTGTTAGATAAAGTTTGTTAGTAGCTTTAACAGCAGGCAGAGCTAAAACACGACTCCCCCGAATAAATGACTCAACAAACGACAATAATTATTTGTTGTTATAAATATATACTACACTCAGAGCAACCAACTGCACCAGATGGGCAAACGGTAAATCCAGTATGTTCCTGTGCATGTCACACAAAGTGACTCTCAAAGTATATTGATTTTTGGGCCAAATAGTCTGGATGCTGCAACAATAAAGAATGCAAAGAAAGCAACATAATGCAGTTAAGTGACTATACTGCCCCAGTAACGGCTAATTTCCTAAAGTTACTAATTCCAGCTGGAGCTGGTATCAGTCCCATTTCCTGAAATCTGGCTAAAAAATATTTTGATTTATGCATAAGTGCCCTGTTTTTAAACATAGGAACCAACAACAAAGGCCATAGCTGAATTAACAGTCTCTTTTTTGAAGAGAAGTATCACAAAAAACCTCAGTCCAAATTTGTGCTAGAAAAAAAAACCCCCACAGTACAATCCAGATTAATCCATTTGAATATAATTCAATGCTGTTTCCATTGCTTACTGCCTCTCCTTATAAAAATTCTCATTTATATACAGACACCTACCTCATACGTGGATTTTGTTTTGGTTAAAGAATTAGTACAACTCAAACAAGATTCAACAAACTTCACCAAAAATGTATCCCTTTTTAAATGATACTGTACTTCCAACAGATATTAACCACGGCACACAAAACTAACTATAGAATAAAAAAGCAGAGTACAACACATTTTGATCCCATGTTTTCAAAGACAGCAAGTCTGTTTGGCCTTTCCGCTCTACAGAACGGGATAGTATTTGCTACTAATTAACTTGTATCTTCAGAGGGCAGCAGCTCCTCTTCCTTTGAATGAAATGGCAAACAATGGGAAGTATTGTCTAGTATAGTTCTGTACTAGGCTAAGAAAGCAGCCTACCAGCTAACTCAGAGGAAAACAAGAAATAATTAAAAAGGCAGTGGTCTCTATGAAGCAGCACTAGTATACTTTGTTTACACACATACACAAATACATAATTGGGTCTGAAACTTGGAAGGGTTTCGTAACACGTGGCAACTGAATCACAAGAGGAAACATTCAGGATTTCAGTAAAGAAAACCACCTCAAAGCTACCTGGTTAGGGGAAAGCTTTGTGCCAAATCCTGGGAAGTAATGAAAGCAGTAGAACTTATTGGTATCAGTGTTCCCTGTAAGCTGCGAGCTTGCGTGGCCACTCTGGAGAAATTCAAATACTTCCTAGCTGATTAGCAGAGCGCCCACAGCTAGCTTTGTGTTTCTATTGGAGGTGCACATTCCCACTTGCCTTGGCGCACATAATAAAACTTATTCTGCACATGGATGGAAAAGATTAGAGGGAACATTGACTGGTACTCAACAACTTGTGGCACTGGACCCTTGCAACGCCTCCTTGGTGGTGCCGAGCGCTGCACACCCTTAAGATGCTCCCTGCCTCTCAGAAGCCTGTTACACAAGGTCTTCCATTTCTAAGCTTCACAGTTTTAGCTGACAAGGGCTGTTACAAACCATTACATCTTTAGAAGTATTTTATATTGCCTTTTATTATGTATTTGTAAGCAGCAATAATTCAAGGGAGCTATACATTTGAATAGGACTGGTGTGATGTTAAAAAAAATCTAATAAAAATTAATTACTGCACGTAGAGCAACCTAAAGTAGAAGTTATAAGCAAAAACAAAACTCTGATTACC